CAGAGAGGAGTCGCGTGTGCTCACTGGGTGTGGAGGATCACGGCGATCAGCAATAAGCTGTTCGAGGAAGGATTTAGAAAGGTGGCTCTCAGGACTTACTTTAAAAAAACCTCTTTGCTGGCAATAAGCGTGGGTGGTGGAGAGAAATTTGCCGTCTCTGGAGTTCATACGGTTCTCAGTGCACGCTCCCCCGCTGTCTGCCACCAGGCGTGGATTGGGTGGGTGCAGCGCGGTAATCCTATCCTATTTTTCAAAACAAGTCCTTCTGCATAAAGAAGTAAATCTCATTTTGGGCTGCTGACTTAATTAACAGAAAATGCAGTGAGGCGGTCGGGTCGGCGGTTAGTACAAATCCGTTTCCTTGGACTCGAGCCAGTGAGTGAGTGAGGGCCAACTCTGTGGCCAACTCTGCGGCGGGCATCTCCTGGTCATGTAGTAGTGTACGGCCTTCCCTTCCAACTCTGATGGTATCGATGTCCTTCAGAAAACATAAAGCTGGCCTAGAGTTTGGGTTCAGGTTTGATTAAAAAAGTGTATTACCACATTACCATGATTTGTTTAAAAACAGAATTGTGTGTTTTGTGTGTTCTGGCATGTTTCCTAACCCTTTCAGCATCAATCCTAAATTATCTGCTAAAATTCAGGCAGCAGGGTTGCATACTGCCACGGGTGATGCAGTCTGTGCGGGTAGGCTGTAGACATGCTCCAGGTGCCACTTCTTCAGGCATTTCTTTTTGTGCCTGAGGCCACTTCTTGCGTCGATTAGCTGGCAGGGACAAGCGTGGGTCTGTCCTGAGCCCCTGGCACCCGCTCCTTTGACGAGAAGGGGAAGGGGGAAGCACAGAAATACACCCCGCCTGACTTCCACCCTGTGCCAGGGGATGCGAGCCTTCACAGAAATCAACCCGTAACTTAAGGAACAACCAAAACAACCTCCTCGGCATTTATTAGGTGGTATAGACTGCTCACTACTGTGAGAATTAAATCCTTAGATCCTTAAAACAGTTTCACTGTTTTTAAAACTTATTTTTCAGTTTATGAACAGAAATGTGTGTAATGACTGACAAAACCACAGAGAGTAATACAGTGTACTTGAGCATGTTCTAAAAATAGAAGCTTAAGACAGAGTGAAGGAGGTTTAATTTTTAAATGCACACTCCTCTGTTATGCTGAAGAGAGACCCTAGAACTTACAACTTCACTTTTAATTCATTTTTCACTGAGAAGTTCAATTTATCAAAAATTCTCTTATTTGCACTTACTTAAATTATGCTTATTGATATGCACAGAGAATGCAGATAGCTCTTAACAAATTAATTTGTTTGGTGAAAATAATAAATTAAAAATAAGTCAGCAGTGTTGTAAAACACAGTCATGGTCTAAAAACCTCCTAAGTAAGAAACAAGTGATTTATATTTGTGGTTCACATAGACTTTATGATGGAATTGCCAGGTCAAATTGCTAATACAATTGTTGAAAACTACTACAGTGGTTTAGAAAAGTGAGTAGGTTGAAATCGTTGCCTGTGCTGTTTCACTTTCCCTGAGGTGGCAACTGTCCCTAGTTTGTTACGGTTTGTGACTGAGATGGGCAGCTCTGGATTTGGTTCCTGCTTTGGTCAAGTTGTCCATTTCTAAGCTTTTGCTCACAAGTTAAGCAAACCATTTTTCCATTAAAAAACTTACAAAGTTATGATGTGCTAATAAAGTTAGGATAAATTGCACTTACTAATTTTGTAAAGAATACTTACATTTGCCTTTCTGTCTAAGAGGAAAAATTGTGTGTTGTATTTCATCATAGACATGGCAGTGCATGATAGTTCATGACACTTTTAAAAATGTTCTTTATCTTAAATGGAGAAAACGAGGCAAATTTAGGCCTCAACACTTATATGTTGCTATTCTGCTTTTCTTTTTTTCTTGCTGCTAATTGGATTAAAGGCCGTTTTGGTTACTATGGCATCCCGTGAGGAGATTACTGTCTGTGAAGATGAAGTAAGGTAAAAAATCAGAACTGTGGTATGAGCAGATTTGGAAAGATATCCACAGTTCCAGTGGTCACTTATGACTGTATCTGAACACTAAAAATTACTTAAATGAAAGGATATCTTGCCAGATCTCCTCCCCTATAGGTGTTTGTGTGTGCAGAGTTGCATTTCTGAATGATGTAGGTAATGTTTATGAGAAAGATTACAGACAAATCTGTTAAAACAGATAATAGCTAAACTGGTCATCCTGACTATTTTTCAAGTTTAAAAGGCTAAAACACTTTCTCAGAGATCAATCAAAATACTGTATTTTAACACCTGCCAAGAAATTGCAGAACTGTCCAGGAGCATCTGAATTCTAAGTATAATTTTGTAACCATACTGTCACCTGAGATGGAAGCTTTAGAGGTTAGATGGATATATATGTCTTTGTATGGTATTTGTCAAAGTGAGTCTGTTTAACTGTCTGTTTATATTTTGTGATATTTTGTCATATTTGAATGTTTGAAAAACATGAAAATACAAGCAGTTCTGTATGCTTATTCTTTCAAATCTCTTTTTTCATTTGTAAAAAGCGACTTGCCCTGAAGCGGTAAAGCTTTGAACTATAGACATCAGTAATTGAACTCTTTCAATGACAACTAATTTACTTTGTTGGTGTTTCCATAGGTCTCGGTACAGCCACTTAGAGAAGATGACAGATTTGGTGGCTGTTTGGGAAGTAGCTTTAAGTGACGGTGTTCATAAGATTGAATTTGAACATGGGACCACTTCAGGAAAACGTGTTGTCTATGTTGATGGAAAGGTGAAATTGCTATGTGCTCAAAATTCACTATGACACAGATTATATAAGTGCACTTCCATGCAACAGGCATCAGAACAAACAAAAGACTAATAAATGCAAGTGAGGTATATTCAGTTGATTAACTTTACCTAATTTAATGAACTGCATCGTTCTTTTTTTCAGTTACAATTAAGATGTGAATATTCATGAAGTGCTTTGCTGTCCTTGGGCAGACGCACTCTAGACATACAGAATATTGTTTATTCTGAAATAATAGTTAAGTATTGAGCTGTTTCCTGAGTTCTAGTTCAATTTTTTTTTATACTAAAACATGCATTCAGGTTTATCAATTAATACCCATTGTCTGTGTTTTATTCTACAGGAAGAAATAAGAAAAGAATGGATGTTTAAATTAGTGGGTAAAGAAACATTCCCTGTTGGAGCAGCCAAAACAAGAGCTACTATTAACATTGATGCAGTCAGTGGCTTTGCATATGAATATACTTTGGAGATCAATGGAAAGAGCCTCAAGAAGTATATGGAGAACAGGTCAAAAATAACCAATACTTGGGTACTGAGCTTGGGTGGTATGGACTATAGAGTTGTTCTAGGTAAGTAAACATTGAATGACTTCATGTTGCTGCCTTTGAATAAACTTGTATGCATTTAATAACTGGTAATTAAGAGAAAGTGCAGTTCAGTGGCTAGCACTGTTGCGGTGTAAAATCCTGGGTGGCCTGGAACTTTGGAGTAACTCCGAAAAATAATGGTCTTGTTACACCTGTGTAAGCCTGCTGTCAGTGTTCTGTTCTACAGCAGCACGGTCTAGATTTAAAAAAAGAGAAAAAAATGGTTGGAAGGAGTTGGCTTCTGTATCCATAGAGCTGCCCTGGCAAGACAGTTCTCCAGGTGAAGCATGTTATAGAAGTGTTATCTGCGATGTGATCAAACCCGCTGTGTGTGTATGTTTGTTGAGCAGGTAACCAGGCTTTCCTTCCAAAAATCATAGGCCAAAGCCAAGGAGTCTTTAACTGAGGAAGTGGGACAATGTTATTCTACATTTTTGATAGATTAACCAGTATCCTTTTTTTCTGCATCACTTCTTAACTACAAATTTAATCTAAAATCTTCAGATGACTTTTTTCACTTTCTTAATAGCAAGGCAATACATTTCTTCTCTTCTGCCCCCCTTTCCCAAATACATTACAAGCAGATGGGAGGAAGGGATCCCCTGAGGAATTTGTCCATGGCATCTAGTGGGAAAACTTTCACCTAGATGTTGCTGTATGGTTAGACCTGAAGACAGGAGATCTTGGGCTATGATTTCTTCTTAAGCCTCAGGACTTTTAATCTCCCTACGCTTACTTAAAAGGCACACAGTGTTCAGCTCTCTACTGATGTCCTGTGGATGACAGTGTCAGTAACATGAATTCTAGAGCAAAGTAATTTAAGGAGGATGTGCTGGGAGGAGTAAAAGAATATTGTTTCATATGAAAAAAAATCTAAGATTCATATTTAAAGTGGTACTTGGGTTTTCAAGGAGATTTTAAGAATACAAACAGTTCGATGGATGTTAAGTAATGCTGCTTTTGAATTAAATCAACCTGGAAAAAATGTTAGAGCTTCATTGAAACAGCTCTCAAATGATTAGCAGAAATTACTTCATTTTTCTGGCTTCAAGGTTTTCAGTTTAAGAATGATTTTCAGTTTAACATCTCTGACAATATTCAGAACAACCCAGTGTTAACAGCCAGGTCTAGGGAGAGGTAAAAATGTATGTTCATAGCAAAAGTTTTTTGCCCATTGATGACAGAGCCTCCCATCTCTCCAATATAAGAACAAACCCTGTAGCCCAGGTATTAGGAACAACTTTTGGGAATTGAAAGTAAAATTCAACAGTAAATTTTTAAAATTCCTAGATCTTCCTGTCTGTAGGGGAAAAAAAAAATCTTGTTCTTTCTACTTTTTGATTTCTTTTTCCTTCACAGAAAAGGACACTATGGATGTGTGGTGCAATGGCCAAAAAATGGAAACAGCGGTACGTGATCATTTCCAAAGGCTTTTCACAGCCTACGGCTAGATAACCAAAGCTTAGCAAAATAAGCCAGAGGGGCATGTTACCTCACTTTACCACAGAGTATGAGCATATGCCTAAACAGTCAGTACGCTATTAGTCTGTTCCAAATGTCCTTCACTATATCTTACAACTGACAGTATTTCAGTTAGGATGCCAAACATCTATATTTAAGGATAAACAATGCTTTTGTTTACACTTTTTAGACAAGCAAAATAAATCTTCTGGGTTGGTTGTCCAGGGTTTTTGGGGAGAAAACTTTCAGGAGAGTGGGAGGGACTTGAGTTTCATGCAGAGTATAGAGCCACTTCATCCAAACCTGCTTGTGTCAGTGATGACTGAGAATTGAACACCTGTAGTCTGTTATGACTCACGATTTTTTTCCACCTAGAGATGGTCCCTAACACTTAGGGCTTAAGAGTCACGTTGGAACAAATCAAATGTTTTGTCTTTCTGTCACATCTGCATTAATTTTTAGAGCAGGTTGACAGCTAGAAGGCTTGATCTATTTGGTGTCTTTTTATATTATGATGGCTTTCAATACGCATACTATGTAGGCTACCCCATCCTTGAAGGATGTGCTTTCTCACCAGAGAGTTGTCACTGTGATTACTACTGTCACAAGTAATCCCCTGGATGAGTACAAGTTGTAAAATCAACAGTTTTGCTGTACTTGAGAATAGGATGAAAAGATTCACCAAATGTTTCTTTAGTAATCAGTGGAAGAAACGTCCTCTCTCAGTGAATGAGGACTTCTGCTCTTGATGGTTCTCAGCCTTTTCTATAATGTAATAAATGCACTAGGAGATATTCTTTTAAGCTACAAGTACAGGTTTAGTTGTCAAACTGTGCTTGTATTAGAGCAGCACACAGATTTTTCTACTCTCCCAAAGATGATGACAAAAATACAGCCATGTATGGCAAAATCTGTAATAGGAAATTACATAACTGCAGCAGGAGCTATGTATCCAAAATACATAGCTGTTAGACTCAATTTGGGGATCTCTTTGTCCTTTGTACCACTAAATCCTGCACGGTTTTACTGCCACTTCAGCACAGGTTTGTGTGGTACTTATTGGCTGTACTGCACAACTCGGAAGGAAACTCTTTTCTATTTTTGTTTTACTGATCAACGATATTAATTCACAAACTCCAACTTTATCATTTCTGATTATGTGAAATTTTGATTGTTATCTAATACCCACAAATCTTTAACTGGACGCCTTGACAAAGCCCTGTCTGAGATTCTGCAGCTTAGTTCAGCATTTGCGCTGCATTTGTCGCAGGTAACTACAGCTGCTTTAATTGTGGGAACTACAAGTGGTCTTGATGTTGGAAACAGTCTGATGCACTCAAGCTTTTATTTTACTAAAATAGCACATGTCTGGTTTTATTCTTGTCTCTTTCCTCCCAGGGTGAATTTGTAGAAGATGGGACTGAAACTCACTTCAGTGTTGGTAATCACAGCTGTTACATTAAGGCTGTCAGTAGTGGAAAACGAAAGGAAGGAATTATTCATACCCTTATTGTGGATGACAGAGAAATCCCAGAGGCTGTGGAGTAGCCTCTAGTTAACTGATTATTGTAGGACTAAGATCAGGTATTTTCAATTACTGTGGTAATTATTTTAATATGTACTACTTGGTACAATCTAGTTTGTGCTGGGTTTATTTTCTAGTTTCTGTATATGAAATTATTCTTTTTGAGAACCAGATGAAAATAATTATATACAGCCTCTTACGTTACCAGTTTTTTAAAAACTATATATACATATATTATATCACTAAGTGCAGAGAGCACAGGTGAACTTAAGTAGAAATTATATACTAGAAAAAAAAATCTCGCTATAATAAAATGCAAGATAAATATTCAGTAAGACTGAATCCTTATAAATTGTGGGTGTATGTGGAGGGAGCAGGAAGCATGTGCTGGGCATTCGAGTAAGCTGTTAAAATTTTCTCAGTAGTTATTTTTTCTATTAAACTGACTACCAACGTTTTTCAGATGCAGTTAAGAAGAGTTACAAAGTTAATAAAAATCTTATTAATGAAATACATTGTTACCAGTACTTGTGTAACAGTATTAAAATAATACTGCACTATGAAAACTGTTCTTTATTCCGAGTAGGAGAAAAGGTGTTACATTGTGCCAAAAAAAAAAATTCTTTGCGGTTTTCTGAAAACCCTTGCTTGTTAGAAATTATTGCAGTAGTTCAGAAACTCTGTACTGAGTTTTTTCAAAAAAGAAAACAGAAAAAAAATGTCCTGCCATGAAACTCCTTTAAAAAAATGACACCTCTTGAAGCAAGCTGAAATAAGAGCTTATTCTTGTTCAGTGCTACCTAACAAACCTTAAATCTACAGCTGTGTGTTTTCCTGGCAGTAATGTGTGAATCAAGAAACATGAGAAAAAATGGGACAGAAATAGAGGAAAAGAATTGGTTGCTTAAATGGAGAATTTAAAATAGAAATAGACTAATTCTGTTTCCAAACTTCCAGCATACTATCTAAAAGCAACCCTGGGATTTCTGTGAGAACAAGACTCGTGTGTTAGATGGTTCTTACAAGTTCATGGTGGGGGGTTCCCATTTAACATTACACTAGAGCATAGGCTCACACACTATAAAAGCTACCCTTTTGCAACAGTGTACACATAGCTAATCTTAAACATAACTTAAAAAAAAAAGGATTATATTCATTTGAAAGTTTGTTTTGCAATGGTTCAAAAAAATTTTCTACTTGCAACCTCAGAGTTCAGAATTAGACTTTTATAATTTAATTTCTTTTGGACTTGTGAGTGGTTCCTAGCACTCACTATCTTGGGAGTTGCAGGCGCAGTACAAATGTGCTGGGAATTCATTAACAAATTATTTTGAAAAGTTTTATTAAGCACTAATTTCATCTACATTTTAGGGTTCAGACTGCTCTCCATTAGCTTTACACGTAGATGAAATGCTTTTCATATGACAATGTCATTGGTTTTTAATAGTTTTATGCAAGCCTTTCTTCTCTCCAGATAATTAGTTTTAAGCGTAGATGACTTTTCAGTCTCGAAGCAGACATGATATTGACAGATGAGCCTTTATTTCTGTATTGCAGCACTGTTATAAGCCGTTCGGGTGTTTAGTTAGGGCCATAACTGGTGGCTTTAAATGCTTCAGATTGGACAAATCTGGTAGTAGCTTTTAGTTGGGGGCAATAGATTTGTTTTAAACCCTGCTAACGTCAGACATAGTTTCAGGCTTTAGTACAGAAAGTTTCAAAGTACCTGAGACTGGACTGAATCCCCTTTTACATTGAAATGAGTATAATAGCTCTTGGCTTTTCCGTTTACTGGCTTCAGGTCACTACAGAAGCAATGTGGGGATATCTAGCTACAAGGTTGACACTGTAATCTTTGAAAGATATCGGTAAAGGTAGATTAATTGAAGAACAATTTCAAGCTATAGCTTGAACCAGTTCTCTACTACTTTGTAGCCTTTCAAAGATTGATTGACCACCACTGAGAAATCTGAAGCTCAAATACAGTCCAAGTCACATTCTTAAGGCTATATGGAAAAATAACAGGTTAGCTGACAGTGTCATTCATACTTTTTATTTTGAATACATGTATGTAAAATGCTTGGAATCTCTAATAAAAATCATTAATAGAAACTGTAAGAGCAACTACTGTTAGAAATCATGAAGTATTGCCTCACATTTGTCATAACTACGTGTATTTAATAGCATGTCCCTAAGTGGGAAACAGCTTTCACCTGACACATTCACCTACTTAAGTCAAAAGAAAATTTAAGAATCAAAGGCACAGCCAAGATTTCTTGGGTTTCACTAATATATGCAATATCTCAGATTAAGAAAATATAATGGAAAAATGACAGCCTACACAAACATCGTCTATAGTCACATGCTCAGAACACTTTAAGGCATAAAGTAAATGACCAGGTAAATGCTAAACTGTATTTTGTGATGCTTTCCCTTCTGTTTCCATTCACAGATAATTTTGTTCTAATCTCCCTAAGGTATTGACTTACTTTTTCTGTTCACGGATATTTCAGAGCACTTTGGATGAGGCACTTTGATCACAGCATGTTACCAGGTAGAGCATCCTCTTAAAATCTAAGTACTAGACTTTGTTCTGAGGGGGTCTTCATAATAGCTACAATTCTGATTAATTCTTACTCAGGATGCTACTGGTTTCCTCAGAGGGCCATATACCTCTCCCTCATTTGGGAACAGGTCAACAAGTATTGTGGAAGGGCCCCAGCACTGTTGCAAATAACAAAGGTGTCAGGATTGTTTACATCATCTACTAAGCTGTCATATACCTTAATGGCATCCCCCTCCACTGCCGGTGGCATAATGTAAGACGGCTTGCCTTTAGTGTATAAGCCTGTTAATACGTCAGCCTCAAACACGTACATTTTAGAGTCTGTTTCCCACCTATCTTTACCCTCGATTAGGCTTTTCGGGTTCCTTTTAAAGTAGATGCCAGCTCCGTATTTTTGTTCTGGAAAAAGAAAGAAAAATTTTCAGAAGAAAAGGAAAAAAGCTTTTAACAATTGGTTCTTTTGGGGTGGTAGTACTAAAAGACTGCTTCTTGATTCAGTATTACATTTTATGTTACTGCTCAATGTGTGCCATCCTTTTGGAGGTAAATTTGCATTAAGTGGCTCTGATGCTAGCACTGACCATGGAAATGATGAGCAATGACAGCTGATGGCCATTCCGATTTAACTGCTACTCCAGTGATGACTGCCAGATTTAACTGTTAATATAGTGACAGAAACATCAAGGTATAATGTATCTATATAAACACTTCTGTCATCATGTACTAGGGATTCTGATAAGCATCAAAGCATGTAAGTTTTTAATAATGTAAACTACAAAAAAAGCTTTGGGATTTGTAAGGAAAATGCTGCATAAAAGTGCTATTACAATATCACATGGAAAGGTGCAAAGAAATTACATTAGACCATCATCCTATTATTACTTTGAAAGTGTGAAAATGTGCCACGTACATTGCATAGACAAGGAATGGCAAATCTCCACTTTTTGAACAGTTTCTTGCCTGAAATCCCAAGTCTGCATTTGACAAGCAAAAATATCACACCCTTCACCTATCGCAGAATGAGGTGCCAAATGCTTATTATTTCCATTTCTGAAAACATCTGTCTACTACAATATTTCATAGACACCACAACTCTCTTCCTCAGTGTACTCTAGAGTGAATGGCAGTCTGCTCAGTCAGATTATCTTCTGCCTCTGATCGCACCTGATTTGAGCAGGGGGTTAGGCTGGGTGACCTTCAGAAGAACCTTCCAGCCTCAATTATTCCGTGATTCCTTTGAACATGCTTTAAAGCATCAAGCTGCTGAATGCATGTTTGCAGCAACTAAATAAGGATGTTGACTTTCTTTAAAGAGTGATGCAACGAAATAAAACTTGGACATGGCATTATGTGTATATTAACAATGCTGTCAACAGTGTCTGGGTAGGCTAGAATCCAGGCTTATCTTCCCAGAGCCTTACTGACTCTACAGTATCAGGAAGGAAAAAAGGGGAAAATCTTACTGTAGATAAAAACGTAAGCTCATATGACTCTAAATGCAGCTAAGAAACAGTTCTTGGTTAGGAATGCCATTTTTTCTGATTTTAATCCAACTTTAGTAGTCAGTCAGTGTTCATTTTGATTAAAGATGCCAAAGCAAGTTATTACCTGTTGGTGGGGAATACATCCTGTGAAATCCAGTTTGGCACACCGAGCTACAGAACTGAGCAGGAACATGCTGGTACAACTTGTGGGTTATTTTCGAGGTACCTTGTTTTTCTTCTATTTTTTTTTTCATTTGTTGGAATGCAGCAGATAAAAGAGGATTATGTATCTTTTCAATCTGTAACATAAATAATAGTGTAGTATAAGCAGATGGAGACCAAAAGCCATGAAATCCACGAGTGCTCTTGTTCAGGCTATGTTTTTTAATGTAAGAACCTTTGATTTAGCTTATATGCATTGACCATGTAGCGGATAAGGTATGTGAAGCGTGCAACTGATCTACAGAAAAAGAAGCATGCCACTGTCCAATGCCTCTCGTTGACATCCGGAATGGGAAATATATCCGAGTGTACTGATTTCCAGTACTTGAGTTGTGCTGAACAGATAGAGTAGCAACCATACATGAGAATAAGCTGTGTGGGTGCTTACAGCCTAATCTTGGAAAGAACGGCAAGTGTCCTGCAAGGCGTGGAGAACCTCAGCTCTCGTTGATCAAAACTTTACAGCTCTTGGGGAAAAAAAGATCCATAGATGAGAGGGCCTTTACGTTAGCTTGTGTCTCGAAACCGTGGCTGCATGCAGCGTTAACGCCACACAGAACTTCAGGTGAATTGGCTACACTGCAGCTCTCACTCCCGTACCTGACTTGACCAGTGGGCCAGGCACAGTCCTATGGCAAAAGTTCGTACCAGTTGCCTCTTCAGCAACCTGCTCATGCCAGACTTCTGACTGCTCAGCTGAAAACAAGCAGGCGCTGAGGCACGATCAAGCTCTTGCTCTGTTAAAAGTCATTTAACTTTGCTATGACTGATCCTCAGTGCAGCACTGTTTTAAATGCTGATGTAGCTTTTGAGCCTCCACAAAGTCTTTAGTTCTGCAGATCAAAAAGCACTTGCTTTCATCAGGTTGGTATTTGCTATTATTTCAGTGTTAAATACCTTTCTTGTATGAAAGGCCGTTCGGCACGTGGCAGTCTGGTTTCCAGTTACTCTCTATTACTACTAGGCACACAAATCCCTGTTCACAAACTTCCATATTTCTCTGTGTTGCACAGCCTCACCCTCCTCCCGTTCAGTAAAGCAGTGATATCCAAGCAAGATCCCAACTTCAACACACTACTAATCTGTCACAACTCTGACAAATTCAGTTGCTAATTTTTGGTGTCAAGCTCACAAGAAGAAAACTGCATTAGTGTCCTGGAATATTGTACTCGTTCTAACATACCAATCTCATATTTCTCTAGAGTCCTATAAAGGAACATGTGAAGCACGAAATAAGAGACAGAATATACAGTACAGTTAAAAGGACTTCTCAGAATTTAACCACACTTTTTGAGTGATTATTTGCATTATGTTTAAAATACTTTCTATTACATCTATAATAGACTACATCTATTTTAAGGATGAGGCTGACTTGATCTTAATTTTTAAAAGCAATATATTGAAATAGTTCATCTGAGTTTTTTAAGCATATGTTAAACATGTTAGTTCAAATGTATCAGCCGAGATTTAGTTTTTCCATGAATACCCTCTTTACCTTGAGAACATGAAGCCCAGCTTTTTCAAACTGTTTCTGTCTGTCTTTAAACTCCTGAAGGTATGATTCCACCAGTGAAATCTGTCCACATTTAGTAGTATTTGTCCTGTGAAGGTGTCCTTCCAAAAGTTGACCTGCTTCTGGTTGGCCTGGATACAAATGAGGGAGTAAAATTTTCATATATCACAATATCTGAAGCAAAGGCAAGGAGGAGGGATCCAATACTTTACTTTGGTAGTTTAGTTAAGAACAAAGAATGTTAAATATTCTCCAGAGTAATGCCAGAGGCTAATATTGAGAGGGACTGATAGATAGATAGATGAGTTTATTCTTTTTTTCTACATTTATTAAAGAAACTAGAGAGAGGGAGAATCACAGAAAAGCAATTTATCTTCCCCATTACATCTCTCCACAACCCAGCTTTCATATAATGGTATCTATATTGAATGATTATACAAACACGAGGAAAAATGGATCACTCAGTAAATTTTGTAATGCCACTAGTTCTATCCACTGTTAGTGAAAGTCAAGGGCTCTGCAGAACAAGTCCATTGGTGGGTCCTGCAACAGTGGTCCAGCTGTAGCTAGCAAAAGAGCTCAGCAAAGGTATGTGTTCATTAAAGTGCAAATTTTGTAAGCCTCCAGTGGCCAGGCTTTAAAGTGAAGCTGTCCTGAAGGAAGCCAGCATTACAGCTGGCTGTACAACGATGGCCAGCTCCTGTATAAACTGTGCCCTACTAGGAATATTGCCTAGTGAGTAACCAAAGCTAACAAATGCTCTTTCAGGGGCTCATATGATAGAAGTACAGTAATATCGGTAATTGAAGCAATGCTCAGTATGTGTGTGAACTGAATGCACATCTGTCCACTCTCAGCAATACATAGACATATGTTGCTTCATACTTGACCTTATTTAGGCACTTACTTACTTAACATACCCATTAAGTACAGCAGTTCCTCTTGTTTGGCTGTAGTCTTCTCTTGCATACGAAGCAGTAATTTTTCAGCTGCGAGTACTGCATCAATCACAGCATCAGGAGGGCCCTGAAATTCCAGTCTTGCTTTTCCACCTCTCACTTCTTCTGATACACGTACACTAGAATGCTGCTCTCGAGATAGTTCTGCAAACTCATTTTTGCCGAGGCTAAAAATGTAGTTGTTTTCAATAATAGCATGATTACTTTCCTGAATTTGTACCACACTTTGGATCCATGATTCTGCTGCTTCTAATGCTGTACATATGTTCCCTTTAAGTTCAATAGCTGGTTCATTATTTGCAGTCTCTTTTACACTTTGACTCCCTGACTCTGTACCTGGAAGAAAGATTTTTTTTTTTATACAAGTGTATTGGAAGAGTGAAGAGCTTTCAAGTGCTAACACAAATTCCTATATGTAATCCAAGATGTACAGTGCAAGAAACACACTACTCTTCTGGTACGCTCAAAAAAAAGAGATTAGATACCAGGAGGTAAGGTTTCCAGGAAAAAAAAAACCCCACACATGCAGAATTTATTTGTCTTCCACTAAATGACTTCCAACAAGTTAGGCACTGACGAGGATTTTTATGTTTGAAAATCTTACGAGGGACTGCCCAGTTCCATTCCTATTAATGTAAAAATGCAAAGCGCTCACACATTTTTGCCTCCCTTTTTCCCCAAGACACATATGCAAATACTAAGTTCTTTTTAAAGGAATGTGATTTCAGATTCTCAAATCTGGAGCGCTCATTTACTTGAAATACCTCTTCTTCTGTTCATTACTTACTCAAATGATCACTTCTGTTGTAATATTGCTTTTTTCCCAGTTTGTGTGCTGCCGAATAAAATTTCCTCTGGAAAACCTTGAAAGAGAAAAGTTTAGAAGCAGTTCGCAATCTCTGTCGTCAAGTATTTAATTTGTCACTTCAAAACTCTGTTAGATAAGTTGTAGTTACACCACCACCTCAAAATTCTGAAATTGTTAACAGCTGACATTTGTCAGCTTTTCCCAAAATGTTATTCCTGAAAATATCAAATGCATTCCTGTTCTTCTACGTCTCCTAAGGTAAGACACCTTACACACTGAATGGCACCTTTACCAACTCCTTGTGGTTGTGGCATATCCAGAAT